ACAGTCGATCACCAAATTTCCTGATCCGCTGGCCGTACGACGCGAAAAGGGGGTAAAGCGTTCTTTGCCTCCGTCAAGCGTTCTTGACAGCCGTACGCCAGTATCCTAGACTTAGCGCACCGGCGAGAAAAGGGGGTGAAGTGTTCTTCGCTTCCGCCAAGCGTTCTTGGCAGTCGGGCGCTAGAGTACCTGTACCTTCTACAATCCGCGAAGCGTCCCTCATTGCATAGAGGGAACGCCCACCGCGTTATCCGCGCCGCGAGTGTCATCCGCCGCTGGCGTATACTTCGCGTCCGCGAAAACATCCGTAATACCGACCGCGCCCCGCGATTTCCGCGCCCGTATTTGGATTTAAAGATCCCCACGTGTTATCCGCCGTACTCGCGCCGTAATTTACACTTCTAGTTTTTCTGTTCGTGCCGTCCGTAATATCTTCGTTTTTCTATCTGCGCTTTGTTGTTTTTCTGTACACGTCTTGTATCCGTCTCGTCTACTTGCCGTCTCGACACGACACACATACACCTGCGTACATCGACACACGACACACACCTGTTTGTCATTCACACCCACACACGCACACATACACACACATTTGTAAATATACACGATACACGCAATAAACGTTTCTGTCTCTTATTTTAAATTACTGTCTAATTATTAGTTTCTGCATTCTCTCTTCCCGTGCGAACCTTTTTCGCGACTAGCGAAATTTACGACGAGCTGATCCGCGTGGAAATTAGGTTGTTTCAGTCTTAAGCACTAGCTTAAGACCAGCTTGAATCTTAAGCAACGTCTATGGATTCCGCCTTATAGTTTCTGGTTGCGATGCTCTTGTTCGCACGTTTGTCGCCACGACTACGAATTCACCATTAAATACTGTATTTATCTTTATAGAGTCATATAAATATAAGAGTCATATCTCTGCATAATACACTGCACTCGCTCGAGCACAATTTCACTCGCGTCTTCGAGGAATCGGCGAGGGTCGATGTGATTAGAGTTTATCACCGCGCCCGTTAGAATACGGCTTTCGAACGCCGTTTCGATCTCGCGCCATCGAAGTCCATATCCGGCGCCCACGTGCACGAAACGTCCGCGCACTGAATCCTTCAAACTCTCGAGCCGCGCGATACTTGCGATCACTGATTGTCTATTACCGATCGATAATCGTGGGCCTTTTATCCGACTCTGTTCTTCCAGACATTCTATAAATTCGTCGCATCGCTGTTCCCACGCGATGTACTCTTCTCTGGTATCAAGCAGGGTAGCTTGCTCAGTCAAATCTCGCTGCATGTCGCTTGATTAACTAATGACACGATGCGTTTAAATCTTTGCGTTTTATATCAATCTATTTGGCAATGTCACAATGCATCTCTTAACTGTGCAATTTGGCAACGTCGCATTTGTATCAAATTACATTACTGCTCCCATCGCCGGATGTGTCCTTTGCATAAAATCTTAAACAGAACTTGCAAACGTTGCATTTTTTAAATATTGAATTACACTAATGATTTCATCACCGTACGTGTCTAAAAATCTGTATTGCGCAAAATTATTTCTTAGCAGCTGCATATTAGCAAACGTTGCATTTTTAAAATTTTGAATTACACGTACAGT